CAATGAATATCAGCCCCTGGTTAACTCTAGCTCTTATTCCTCAACTGCCTCGGTTAAAGATGGTGGCTTTGACGGGTTGGATACTATCTCATCTTTTTATGAATATCAATTGAACGTGTGGGGACTTAGAGAAGAATGCAAGCGAAAAGAGGTTATTTTCTTAGTTACTAAATTTCATCAAGTCCCTCTTTTCTTGATGCTAAGAAAATATGTGGCAATAGTTTTGTTTGTTTTGAGGGATTGATGCTCAAGGTAGTTTTGGTGGTTTATGGCTTTTATGGGACCCTACAATTCTTCTGTGCTGGAACGTTTTTAAAACTGATAGATGTATTGCTATCACTTTTGAAGGGCCTCTTATAAATTTTTGTAGGGTGCTAGTTAATGTTTATGGGCCTAATAATTATGCTCTTAAGCATTCTTTTTTGGATGACATTTTCAATATCTCTATTTCTTCTGGGCTGTCTGTTTATATTGGGGGGGACTTCAACTTGAGGCATCCAGATCAAATTTCCTCATCTATTTGCTTTAATTCATATATGCACCTGTTCAACGAATTCATTATGAGGAACAACGTCCTTGATCTTCTTGTTTCTGAGGCACATTTCCCTTGGTAAAAAAATAGTGTAAATCACTTAAATTATTTCCAAGCTGGACAGATTCCTGGTTTCTGCCGAATGGGATAAAGTCTTTCCTCTTGTTAAGGTCAACGCTTTAAGTAAGCTCTATTCGGATCACCTATCATTGTCTCTTCATACCGATGAAGTAATTGTTGGTCTAAGATCGTTTCGGTTTGAAATTGGTTGGCTTGAAGAGCTTGATGTAGTTTATATCATCAAACAAACCTGGGGTAACTGCGTTATCTTGGGAAGTGCGAGGTATCTGCTACAAAGAAAACTTAATTTTCTCAAACTTAAACTCATTGCCTGGAAGAAATCTACCAAATACCACATTAAGTATATAATTGATACTGCTGTTATGGACATTGAGATGTTGGAAAACCATATTCAAGAGCAACAACAATTATCTACAAATTATTAACTAATAATAACATTTTGTTAAATCAATTCATGATTATTTGTGATTAAAGGAAATCTATTGGGGGCAAAGGTCTAGAGTTAAATGGCTCAAGGAGGGTGACTATAACACAAAATTCTTTCATGTCATAGCTAATTCTCGCAAGACGCAAAATGACATTACGGCACTGCGTATGCTTGGAGTTGTTGAAGGAGATTTTATAGGTAAATAAAATGCTATCATCAATCATTTTCTTAATGCTTATTCATGTAAGCATAATCTTAGGGTTATATTGGACGGGGTTCCAATCAAAATGTTATCCCCTGATTCGGCAGATGACCTAGAGAGGGAGGTTTTTGAAGAAGAGGTGAGAACAACTGTTTTTGGGCTAGCAGGTGATAAGGCACCCTGATCAGATGGTTTCATTTTGGTTTTCTTTCAGCGTTTTTTGGGATTGCTTAAATCAAATTTCGTGTCTATGGTAAATGAATTTATGTGCAGTGGTAAGATTATCAAAAACATTAATTCCACATATGTTTATCTTATTCCCGAAAATGATATCATTGATGACATAGGAGATATTAAGCCCATTAGCTTTTTGTTGAGCCTATATAAAATTGTTGCAAAAGCCTTGGCTGAAAGACTCAAAGTGGTCCTCCCTTCTCTGGTTTTGGGTGAACAGTATGCTTTTATTCGTGACAGAATGATATCAGATAGTATTTTGGTTGCGCAAGGATGTCTTCACTCTATATCTCTTAAAGAGAAAGGTAGGGTTGTTATCAAGTTGGATATGGAAAAAGCCTTTGACAAAAATGTTGAATGGCAAGTCCTTCGAGAAATTATGAGATGTATGGGTTTTGGCACCAAGTGGATTTATTGGATTTTGTATTGTCTTTCTTCGGCTCACTTCTTCATCATAATTAATGGTTGTCCCAGAGGTTTTTTCAAAGCTTATAGGGGGTCTTAGACAACGTGACCAACTTTCCCCTTTCATTTTTTTCCTGATGGTTAAGGTTTCAGTGTGATGTTTAAAAATACAGTGATGAAATAAATACTAGAGGGGTTCCAAGCTGGGACCAAAAGGTTTTTTATTTCACATTTACAATATGTTGATGATACTTTGATCTTTTGTGATGCAGATCCAGCCATGATTAAAAATCTCAGTGTTTTCCTCTTGTGTTGCCAACTAGCCCTATTCCTCAAAGTGAATTTTCATAGAACTTATATGGTTGGAGTTTTATGTGCCAATGATTCGCTTCATTATTTGACTCTTATTCTTGGTTGCAAATTTGACTTTTTCCCTCTCAAATATTTGGGGGTTTATTTCTCATATTTGACGCTTCCTAAGTATGTGTGCGATCCTCTAAACCAGCAGTACCAAGTTAAGTTGGATATTTGGAAGTCTAAGACTCTTTCCTTGAGAGGTCGTATTACCCTTGTCAAATCTACCTATACAAATTTGCATATTTATCTCATGTCTATTCTACAAATGTCGAGCGATGTTATTAAAATCGTTGAAAGGTTTATGCACAACTTTATAAGGGGTTCTTTTGATGATGACCATAGAAAATTATATTTGGTAACATGGAATAAAATTTGCACTCTAATGAAAATGGGTGGCCTAGGAATTCGAAAGCTTAAATACACGAGTTGGGCTCTTCTATCTATGTATTGGTAGCAAGTATGGTTTTGAACCTTTCACTCATTTGATTAAAAAATGGGGAGGAGGTAAATTTTATTCACAAATCTTAAAGGGAATTTATAGTTACAAAAATGTGGTGCTCGATAATTCTCGCTAACTTATTGGTACTGGTAACAAGATTTTCTTCTGGTTTACTGAGTGGTGCGGGTATCAGCCCCTATACCTTATATTTCCAGATCTCTTTGCAAGAGTAGGCTATCCAATGGCAAAAATGTCAGACTTATTCTGTCGCTTACTTTTGGGTGTCTCCATATGGAATGCTCAATGTAGTTATAACATAATGCCAGACCAAGTCATTTCACAATTTCATAATTTATTATCTATCATTTAGGATGTTTATATCTCGCATATAGGTGAAAACAAGGTTATATGGGAAAGTGAAAGTGATGAAGTATTGTCTGTTAAATATGCCTATCCATTACTTTTCTATAATCGTCTAAGGTAGTCCAAAGATTATCTTTTTGTAATCTGGAAATGACATATACCTATGAAGATCAATGCTTTCTTTTGGATTGCCTATAAATGTCTTATTATAGGCAATATTCGAAAGAGGGGGAAAATCATTCCCAATATGTGTCTCATGTGCAAGAGCAATCAAGAAAATAGTTGCCACCTTTTATTGCATTGTTTATTTGCAAATGATATTTGGAAGTGGTCATTCAGCCTTTTGGGTATTACTCTTATCATGCCAGCAAATCTGATTTCAGTTATTAATCATCATTTGGAATATATTCAGAAGTGCTATTTTATGGTAGATCTGGCTAGTGCCAAACATACACACTTTTGAAGGGAGGTCTTTAGACTTTTTGAAGGGAGGTTTTTGGATTTTGCAACCATTAAAATAAAATTTTGCAGACTTTATAAGGCAGGTACTCCATTACTGTTTATGGGAGATGAATTTCAATGGCAGATGTAGTTGTTAATTTAAAACTCCTAGCTTTCTTTTATGTTTCAAAATGCCACTCATCTTTCACTTGCACCCTTCTTCTTGAAGGTGCTTATAAATTCAATTTTGATGGATTTTTTTTGGGAAATCCAAGGCAAGGTAGAATAGGTGGTCTTTTTAGAGATCATGAGGGTACTACTATCTTCTCATGTGATTCTATCACGACTAACCAGGCTGAGGTTTCTCTTATTCAGGCTTGCAAATCATTGTTAGCAGAAATATTCAGGACATTATTCTGATCGAAAGAGACTCTCTAAATGTTATCAAATGGTGTAATAAAGAACATAGATTCATTTGGTCCCTGCATGTATTTTGGCTGAAGATCATTGAGATTTGTTTGTAGGCCATAGCGTTTCATTTTTCCACGTTTACCAATAAGCAAATGATGCTGCTGACCGCTTAGCTAAGCTCGACATTTATGTCCCCCTAATTCCAGCATTGTGTAATTTTATATTGTTACAACAATTTATCAATAAAAGCTTTTGAACATCGTTAAAAAAAAAAAAGAAAAAAAAAAGAAAAAGAGTTGCACCTTAATTTTATTGTTTAAGGTTGCAATTTTATACAAACCATACCCAAAATTAAAACTTTAATTTAGTATCCGGCAATCGTGGTATTTCAATCCAGCTACTTGTTACCTCTTTTTTTTTTATTTTCGTTGTCTTTAATTTCAAATATTGATTCAACCAATGTTAAAAAACCAAACCAATGTTAACAAAACCAATTCGATTGCCAGTCCAATTGGTTGGACAAGAAATCTAAAAAATAAAAAATAAGAATAATAGCTTAAAAATACGAAACAAGAATAAAAAAATCAAACTTTATAAAACATGTCTTAACAATCAAAATCAGTCTGTTTCGTTAGCCAAAACCAATAAAATCTTAGTTTTGACAATTTTTAACCAATCCTTGCTTTGAACCAAACCTATTAACTCATTGATATGAGCTCTTATTAACGCACTGATATGAGCTCTTAGGGTGCTTATTAACGCACTGATATGAGCTCTTAGGGTGGTTCTGGTCGGTCCAGTTTGGTATTGATAACTAGGGTTCAGGCCAAGAAAGACTCATGTGGTTCGTTAATTTCAAAAAAAAAGAAAACAGAAACGAAGATTTATGTGTTCCTGCCTTTTTAAGATCTCCCCTGCTTCATCACCAGGCAGCGATATTTTGTTCGGAACTTGAAAGGGGCGATCCAGAAATATTTATAACAAAATGTGGCATTTCATTAGTAGTTGAGTACGAAAAAGCGCCGCCGATGCAATAAACGCACGGGGGAGAAATTGACGGTTTTTGGACACTCAAAAACTTTCCCGCCCTTTCAACTCCAATCTCTCTTTAAAAAACAAAGGGATCTCTCTCAAATTTGCAACTCCAACTCCAAGAGCTATGGGTTCTGAAGCTCGCCATGTTTCACCAAAAACCACATCACAGGTCGATGTAGATGAAGTTGCAGAGGTTACAGTGATGAAAACAGTGTATAGCAGAGTGAAGAAGAACTCGGTGGCGAAGGTTATCTCCGAGAGAAGATGCAGTTCTAGGGTTAAGAGAAAACCAGAAAATGAGAACGATATGGTTTATAGATTTGATAGGAAGTACGAAAGGAGAGGCACGAGTAAGAAGGCGAAAGATCGCCATGGACGAGCCTCGGATAATCCACTCACTGGTTTGGGATCTGAGCTTGTCGAGAATGTGAAGGAGGAGGAGGAGCCTCCAAACACTGCAATGGAATTAACTGAAACAATGATCAATGTGGTGGAAAATTGTGACGCCCAATCCCATAACCAGGCCGGGATGAGTGCATCTGCATTGGTGAAGGATACACTAAGAGTTTTTGATGCACATTTCCTTCGTTTTGTTCAGGTACAAACGGGTCAATGGGAGGTTACTGCCTTTGTAGCTGATTGCTTAATTTTAATGTTTTACTGGTCTTTTTTTTTTGTTGTTGTGTAATGGCATATATTCGAATGTGATAGCAGAGGAATAGTGTATTGTCTATTAATAATGTTGGTTATTTCAATTATTATTTATCATGGTTCTTTTACTACTACTATTCGTTGTGTTTTATTTTCCTATTATTGATCATAGTTTCTATTATTATTATTATTATTAGCTGAACCGAAATGGTTGGCATCAATGTTCAAGAAGGTCGATGTGGCCGCCATGTGGTCCTAAGGGAAGGGGATTGGGGTGGGGGCTATATGTTGTTTTGTATGTGTGTGTTTGGTGAATGTGTGTATGTGCTTAATGTGTGCATGTGCTGCGCACTTATGTGTGTGCACGAGGTCTCGTATGAAATTGTTAAAGATCATTCTTCATTTTTTTTTTTTTGTCCTTTTGGATCTGTATTTGTCACAGAGGTCTTGAACACTTGGAGGATATGTCATGATCGAGAGAGAGAGATCCTCTGTTTTTCTTTTCTTTTGGATCTGTATTTGTGAGAGAGGTCTTGAACACTTGGAGGAGAGAGAGAGAGAGAGAGAGAGAGAGAGAGAGAGA